CCGACCCCCCCCGAGCGTGTACATACGCTGCGATCGCTCCGCAGGGCCCGCAGACCCCCCCCCGGCCCCGAGGGGGCGCCTTCGTCGCGAAACGGTCCGCCGCGTCGCCGTTACGACGTCGTTCCGGGAAAAAGCGTATTTTCCGCCTGATCCTCTCCGTAGGGGCTCTCTGGCGAGCCCGGTGTCGCGGCGCGAGAGGCCGTAGATTCGAACCAGCGATGTGACAGACAAATCGAGCGGAGCGCATCGTATGGCTGTCTCGCGACCTTCGGACAAAAGCTACGCCCTTCGGCCAGAAGATCTGGCCTGGCGCCTGCGGCGCGGGCTTCGCAAAAAGGTCAACGTGAAATGCAATATTGACGTCAACAACACAATTCCTTCGGCGCGCAGACCTGAGAAAAGACCCGTTCCGCCTAGTAAACTCGAGTGCTGGCGCCTGCTTGACGCTCAAGGCGTCGGGGTTCGTGCGAATCGACATGGCCTGTAGGCCTCGCACGGAAGAAGTAATTCGCGTGATTGACTCGGAAAGTTACGAGGTTCTACCCCCCGCGCGCCCCCCTCCCCCGCCCCCGACGACGAGGTAGTCCGCGACGGGCAGCACGGCGGAGCCCGGCCGCGCCTGCGCCGCCGCCGCCGCGTCGGCGATGAGCTCGGGCCCCTTGCCGCGGTCGACCTCGTTGCCGACCCAGTCGTCGACGGCGGGCACGGGCGCGAAGCGGAGCTGGAGCGTGTACTCGGCGAAGTTGACGAGGCCGTCGCCGCCGCGCGCGACGTCCCGCGAACCCGCGAGCGAGTCGTAGTCGACCCGCCCCCCCCGCCGCGGCAGGGGCGCGCCGCCCCGCTCGACGCCGCCGGTCTCGTCGCCGCGCGTGTCGCTCGGCCGCGGGTTCAGGAGCACCGTGGCGACGTCGTCGACGCGCGCGGCGCCCGGCAGGCGCCGCGCGAGGCGGTTCGCGGCGCCGCAGCCGAACTTCACGTGGTCCGCGCCGACGACGCCGACGGCCAGCCCCCCCGGCTTCGACGCGAGCCAGGTCTCCATGACGGACGCCATGGCCTCGTCCCAGAGCACGCGATTCGCGAGGAAGTTCTTGAAGGACGTGGTGCACGACGCGTCGTTCCCGACGCACTCGCTCGTCGTCGTCGCCGGCAGGATGCCCAGTTCGACGTGCAGCGCGTAGCTCGGCCGGATCGCGTAGCCCACGTAGCTCTTGAAGGCCACGGTCTTCGCGAAGGCCGCGAACCCCTGCGGATCGGGCAGGTAGCGCCCGCGCGCGGCGCGGTCCAGGCCCGCGAGGCCCGCCGCCGACACCTTCGCGGCGTCCTCGCCGTCGACGTTGAGCGCGAGCAGGTCCGCCTTCGCCGCCTTGGCCGCGCGGAAGACGGGCGCGTAGGCCTCGAAGGGCCAGCTCCACCGCTGCTCCCACTCCGTCGCCGCGGCGAGCCTCCGCTCGCTGAGCTTCCCCGCGCCGTAGGCGTCGAGCGCGGGCTGGAACCGCTGCTGGACGGCCTCGAAGCCCACGGCGAGCGGCCGCGACGGCTCGGCCGCGCGGAGCGCGGCCACGAGCTGCGCCTGGAGCGCGTGGTCCGCGACGGCGTCGTGATGCTCGCCGAGGAAGACGGCGCGCCGCCGCGCGAGCTGCGCGACGAGGGTCCGGGGGGCGACGGCCCGCGCCGACGGATTGAAGGACGCGCTGTCGCCGAGGACGGCGTAGGACTCCCAGGCGTTGAGCGGCGCGGCATCGATGGGCGCGGCGCCGGCGACGGCCGCGGGCGTCGCGCAGGATGCGGCGAGGCACCGCAGCGCGTCGCGGCGGCCGAGCTCGAGCGATGTGGCTGCGGTCACGAGCAATACGAAGCGTAGCATGATGCGGCGCTCCCGCTCTCCCATGCACGTGCGCTGCCAGTGTGCCAGGCTGACCTGCCCCGTAAATTATGGATGTTGCCTGTGCAACAAGCACCTGTGGTAAAAGCGAGATAGCGTCTGGGCCGCCGCTGCAGGCGCGGCGCGGCACGCCATGGGGAACGATGTGTCGAAGAACATGGCGAACCGCATGGCCATCGGCGCCATGAGCAACGTGACGGACGTCGAGAAGGCGCAGCTCATCAAGCTGTGCTTCAACCTCAAGGACATCGGCAAGCGCCAGGGCAACCCGAACATCGTCACCAAGGAGGAGTTCCACGAGGCCTTCCAGGGCGTCGACGTGAGCCAGAGCGACCGCGACGTCTTCGACCGCCTCTTCGTCATGCTCGACCGCACGGGCGAGGACCGCATCAACCACAAGGAGTTCATGATGGGCGTCTGCCCGTTCATCTCGGGCACGACGCTCGCGGTGCTCCAGCTCGCGTTCGAGCTCTACGAGGACGCGTCGGACAACATCAAATACAGCGACCTGCGCTTCATCCTCATGACCATCAACACCGTCGCGTCCTACTTCGGGGACCCGGTCATGCGCACGGACCAGGTCGACGAGCTCGTCGACGCCGCCGCGGAGAAGCTCGACCTCCCGCCCAAGAGCGGCACGCTCGTCATGGCGGACCTCGCGCCCTTCGTCGCGGGCCACGACCTCGTCACGGACTTCATCGAGGGCCGCGGCACGTCCCGCTACGGCAACAAGCTCTGACCGCGGGGGTTCGGGTCTAGGCTTAGCTCTGAAGCGCGGCGCGGGGTACATGTGCGCATGCAGGAATGCGCAAGGTGCGTGCACGCGCACATCACGCGAAGCAAAGAGGCCTGGCAAAGACACCGTTACTCCCCCCCCTCCGCGGCGGCGTGCCCCACGGCCAGTTCGACGGGGCCGAGGTCGCGGAGCACGTCGGGGACGCGCACGCCCCGCCGCGCGTGCGTGAGGGGCGCGATGGCGCCGTAGGCGTCGGTGCGGATGCGCGAGTGGAGGAGCCACTCGCTCGCGTCGACGCGGTGGTCGAGGTAGAAGGCCGTGTTCACGGGCGCGTCCGCGTCGCGCGCGCACGTCATCGCGAGGACGTGGTAGAGGCCGCACGCCGCGGCGACGCACTTGGCGCCCTTCGGGAACGCCGCGCGCGCGGGCCGGTGGCGGGGCGCGGCCCGCCCTAACACGTCGCCGTCGCCCCAGAGGTAGAGCTCGCCGGCGAACGTCAGCGCGGCCGTGAAGGAGTGGCCCGCGCCGAGCCAGACGACGTCCTCGAGGTCGCGGACGCGCGTCGGCCGGCCGTCCTCGCCGTCCGCGAGCGTGCGGTCGAAGCCCTCGCGGCCCCGGCCGACGGCGGGCCCCAGGCCCCAGGTGAAGACCTACCAAGCATGACGGTGACGATTCCCTCGTTGTTTTCCCGGTCGAAATCTCTAAAAAATCGTCGCGGCCGCACTGGTCCAGACGTGGCCCGCGGCCGTAAGGCACGCCGTGTGGTACGCGCCGACGGCGACGGATACGACGGGCGACCGCGTCGGCGCGTCGTCCTCGACGCGCGTCGCGGCCTCCAGGGCCACGCGGCCGGGCGCCATCGGGTCGCCGCCGCGGCCCAGGGGCACGGGCTCCAGCACCTCGTCGAGGTCGCCCGACGCCAGGCCCAGGTGCCGCGCGATCTCGCGCGCCCAGGACACGGGCGCGGCGGTTTCGGGCGGGTGCCGCGGCGCGCGCCACGTCCAGACCTACCAAGCATGCTTCCTCATTGTTGTCCCACCCCGAATCTCTCGTAAATCGTCGCGGCCACGCTGGTCCAGACGTGGCCGCTCCGCTCCAGCGCGACGGAGTGCTCGACGCCGCAGGTGATGGCCGCGACGGCGACGGCGTCCAGGGGCTTCGGCGGCGCCTTGGCCGCGTCGCCGTAGCGCTCCATCGCGTCGAGCTGCGCGTCGAGCCGCTTGCCGCCCAGCCGCTTCGCCTCCGCGCCGTCGCGCCCCACGGCGACGACGCTCGTCGAGTCCGCGGCGATGTGGCGCACGGCCGGCGGCGGCGCCCTGAGCGCGTCCGCGCCGTCGTCGAGGTCCAGGTCGCCGCGGAAGACGTCCGCGACGCGCGCGGGCGCTCGCACGCGCGTGTCGCCCGCGCGCGCGGGGCCCGCGTCCTCGGCGTAGGTCGCGCCCGCGGAGCTCGCGGCGGAGACGCTCTGGCGCACGTTGAGGCACGCGTCGAAGCCCCAGGAGTAGACCCGGCCGCGCCAGTCGAGCACCGCCGAGTGGTGCGGGCCCGCGACGAGCTGCTTCACGGGCACGGGCCGCAGCGCTTCGAGCTCCTTCGGCGCGGCGAAGGTGACGTCGTCGTCGTCGTGGCCCAGCGCGCCGCCGGCGCCCCGCCCCCAGGACCAGACGCGCTGCGACGCGAGGCACCGGCAGAGCTCGCGCCGGTAGCCCGCGCCCGCGGCGCCGCTCCGCGCGCGCGCGGCCGCGTCCGGCGACAGGCCGTCGGCGCCCGGCGCGGGCAGCGTGCGCAGCCGCTCCGTGGCCTTGAGCGCGTCCTCCGCGCGCAGCTCGCCGCCGAACCAGGACCCGTCGTTCGGCGACGCGCCGAAGTCGCGGAGCGCGGTCGTGCGCCAGAAGGTGCCCCCGAAGCCGTCGACGGCGAGGCGCCGCGACGCGCAGAAGAGCCGCATCTGGTCGCATACGGGCAGGTGCGCGACGACGCGCCGCTTCTGCTGGAACGTGAGGCCCGCGCCGAGGGCGTCGTCGCGGCGGCCCTGCGGCGGCCGCGCGCGGTCGTCCGCCGCGAGGCCCAGGACCCGGCCCTCCTCGTCCTCGAAGGCCATGCGCGCGCGCTCGTCGCCGCGCCGCTCGAAGGCGTCGCCGTCGAAGAAGGCGCCCGCGCCGCGCGGGTCCTCGGACGCGAGCAGCGCGGTCTCCGCGGCCGCGTTCGCCGCGCGGCCCGCCGCGTGGCGCGCGGCGCGGCCGTCCTCGCGGCCCATGGCCTCCGCCTCCGCGATCCTCCGGAGCCCCGCGGGCGACTCGTCGACGACCAGACGCATGCGCGGCACCTGGTTCCGGCCGCCGAGGTGCACGCGCCGCGCGACGCGCGCCATGGGGTCGACGTCGACGTCCGAGCCGCCGGCGCCCGCGAGCCGCAGGCGCAGCGCCTCGCGCGCGCCGTACTTGTCCGCCCACCAGAGCACGTACTTCTCCTCCACGGGCCGCGGGCCCCGCTTGAGGTTCGCGACGCGCACGGCCGCCGCCGCGGTCTCGCGCGCGCGCTCCGGCGCGAAGCCGTGCTCCGCGGCGAGCTCGCGCGCGACGGCCGCCTGGTCGATCTCCAGCGTCGGCTCGCTCACGACGACGACGGGCACGGACCCGGAGAAGCGGACGACGAAGCGGCTGTAGCGCGCGGGCGCGGGGTCGCCGCCGCCATCGTCGGCGTCGCCGTCGTCGTCGTCGTCGTCGTCGGGGAGCCCCGGGATGGGCAGGTCGAGGACGTCGTCGTCCGAGGCGTCGCCGGGCTCGACGACGTAGCCGTCCTCGTCCAGCGCGACCGGCTCCTCGTCGAGGGCGACGCGCGGCTCCCGGTCGAGCGCGTAGCCGTCGGCCGGCGCCTCGCGGCGCAGGTCCTCGAGCGGCGGCAGGTCCGCGGCCCTCGCCTCGTCGAGGCGCCGCGCCTGGTGCCGCTTCCGCGGCCGCGGCGCGCGCGCGGGCGGCTCGTCGTCCTCAAGGAGCACGGCGTCCGACGCCCACTTGGACTCGCCCTCGCGGCGGTGCGGCGGAGCGGGCTCGCCCTCGCGGCGGTGCGGCGGAGCGGGCTCGCCCTCGCGGCGGTGCAGCTCCGCGTACATGGCCTCCATGTCCGCGCGCGCGCGCGCCTCGGCCGCGGCGTCGTCGGCCGCGGCGGCCTCGTCCTCGGCGGCGAGCGCGGCCTCCTCGACGTCGAGGGACGTGCGCGCCGCCGACGCGAGCTCCGCGAGCGCCGACGGCGGGCCGAGCTTCTGCCGGTCGATCGGGATGGCGAACGTCGCCTCGACGGCGGCCTTGACGTGGTGCAGCGCCGCCGCGCCGCCCACGGCGAGTTCGACCTCCGTGACGCGCAGCACGAGGCCGTCCTCGACCCAGCGCACGCGCGTCGTCCAGGTCGCCATGGCTGACGCCGCGCGCGGAGGCGCCGCGGAGGCACACTTCGTGCTCCTCTCGCAGAGCGCGCTTTTTCGTTTACCCCATAACTTGCAGCTCTGCAATTACGAGCTCGGGCAGCCCACAAAAGTCGCCTTGCCTGCTTCGACGCCACTCGTGGCGGCGGGGTGCCGGCGGTGCCATGTCGAAGATGATGCAGGCCGAGGGGGAGATCGACTACACGAACATGAACCCCGGCATCGCGTCGTCCATCAAGAACAACCCGCGGCTCCAGCAGAAGATCAAGAACATGAAGGTGCGCCAGGCCGAGTTCGAGGCGGAGAAGAAGGAGATCATGCGGAGCGGGCGCGTCCAGCAGAACTGCAAGTGGCAGTGGACGGACTGGGACGACGAGGGCAAGTGCACGACGAAGGAGATCTTCGTCCACATCCAGCTGCCCAAGGGGACGACGAAGGAGCAGCTCCGCATCAAGACGCTCCGCCAGCTCTTCGAGGTCAAGGTGCTCGCCCCGAACTCCAACGGCATCGAGAAGCGGCTGAGCGCGAGGCCCGACGTCGCCGCCGTCGACGCGCCCCAGAAGATCGTGAGCCCCGTCATGACGACGCCCGCGGCGTCGATGATGCCGCCGGCCGACTACCCGCTCGACGAGCCCCACGCGGAGTGGACGAAGCACGCCCACGCCCAGCAGGTCCAGGCGCTGGGCAACACGGACGTGGGCATCCACGCGGACTACACGTCCGCCGACGCCGGCGAGGAGCGCAAGAAGGCGCTCCTGGCGCGCCACAAGCTCGACGAGTACAAGGACGACAACAAGCTCAACAACGCGCTCGCCAAGTCCAACGAGTGGCGCGCGTCCTGGCGCATGGCGAGCCACACGGCCATGCTCGACTGCATCTCCGCCGGCGGCACGAGCCGCGCGCGGAGCCCCGCGGTGCTCGCGGTGCTCCGCCACGATTTGGAGCTCGCCAAGGTCGAGGACCGCCTCGAGGACGCGATCAACTTCGACAAGGCGCTGGAGGCCGCCGGCGCGCCCAAGCCCGGGTCTGCCGCCATGGAGAAGATGTACAAGGACACGGAGCTCCAGAAGCGCAAGGAGGCCTTCGTCGCCAAGGTCCGCGCGCAGGCGGGCCTGCCCGCGGAGGTCGCGGAGCAGCCCAAGGACCTCATCTCCATCCTCACGGCGCCGGAGCCCAAGCGCGTCGACACGGTCCTCCTCCGCGGCGACCTCTTCATGCCCCTCGACGTCGAGGGCACCGTCTGGCACATCGAGGGCCAGTGGCTCAAGATGGAGCTCACGAAGGACGGCATGGCGGGCTTCGAGTGGCCCAACCTCTTCAAGACCGACGAGTTCCGCCACAAGAAGGTCAAGCCCTACGAGATGATCGGCGGCCCGCCCTGAGGACACCGCGCGCGCGGCCCGCCGCGGCGCGCGCCGCCCTCGCGCCGGGCGGCCCGGTCCGTCGCGGCTCCTAACACCTCGCCGATCGACGATACGTGGCTCTAGGCCCGCAGATGGATCTCGCGATCGCCCGTGATCGCCTGCGCGACTTCCCGCGGCGCAAAAAAAAAAGGAAGCACCGGCTGATATCAGCTTAGTCAACCTCCTCGTGTTTCACACTCCATCATTATGGTCCCTCTGGCAGCGTAGCGCCGCGTGAAACAACATGCAAATGGTCCCTCGGGCAGCGTAGCGCCGCGTGAAACAACATGCAAGCGGCGATCGCGGCGAAGGACGCGGAGATCGAGCGCTTGACCACGGAAAATGCTGCGCTCAAGCAGCAGCTGCTCAGCAATGGGCTCGTGCCCGGCGCTGCCCCGTCGCACAAGGAGCTGCCCGCGGCCCTGCAAAATTTCGTCCCGCTGGCGAACGCGCCCGCGGTCCAAGCGGTCCTGCCGGCCCTCGACGCCGCGACGGAGGCCGTGGGCCGCGCGGCCGACGCCGCCGCGCTCGACGCCGCCATCGAGGCGCTCCGGGCCGTGGGCGAGACCGCGGTCGAAGCCTACGCCGCGGCGATCGCGGAGCGTGTCGCGCAGCCCGACTGCATCAGCAGCTGCCAGGAGGCCCTGATCGCGGGGGACGGCAAGTTCGAAAAGGTCTACGACGTCGTCTGGGGCTACATCGAGGCCTCCGAGGACGCGCGGGCGCTGCCCGGAGCCGCCGACGAGCTCCGCGCCGCGGCGGCGGCGCCCGCGGGCGCGAAGCCGACGCAGCACGTCGCCGATCTCTACGAGCTCTACCGCGCGGCCGCGAAGGCGCAGCCCGCCTTCCGGGCCGCGTGCGGCGCGCTGCAGACGCGCCTCGACGCCGCGGGCGTGCGCGCGCGCGTCGAACGCGCGCCGCTCAAGCACTGCGGGCGCATCATCGAGAAGATGGCCTTCGCGGGCGACGCGCGGGCGGGCGCCGCGGCGACGGTCCTCGACGTGAACCGCGGCATGCTCGTCTGCGAAGACGCGAGGGCGATGAGGGCGGTGCTCCATGCATTCACAGCATGCGCGTCCGCGGGCGACTTCGCCGTGGCCCGCGTCAAGGACCGCCACGCGACGCCGTCGCCGGGCGGCTGGCGCGACGCGCTCGTCAACGTCGTCGTCGGCGACCACGTCTGCGAGTTCCAGGTCGTCCACCAGTCCATGCTCGTCGCGCGCGTCGGCCTCGACGGCCACGGCGTCTACGACCGCATCCGGAACTGCGCCGAGCTCCTCGAGAAGCTCGGCATGCTCGGCAGCCGGGTCAACGAGACGGGCGCGGGCTGGAGCTTCGACATGGGCGCGCCGTCCAAGCCCAAGGGCAAGAAGCCCGTCCTCTCGTCGAGCCGGAACCCGCGGAAGAGCCGGAGCAAGATCGCCGAGGCCGAGGCGACGGGGACGGACGCCGCGGCGAGCGCCATCCAGGCGCGCGTCCGCGGCCGCCAGGGCCGATAATAGTCAAAATTAGGCTTCAACCTTCGCATCTCATAAAGCGTAATACACGATGGCGTCGTTCGATGGCAGCCCCGACGCGTCGTCGTCGTCGGCGGCGGCGGCGCCGGCGTGGCAGGCGAAGCTGCTGGCGAAGTACCGGGCGCGCGGCGCCGAGGAGCGCGCGGCGATCAAGGCCCGGGACCGGGAGGCGACGGACGCCGAGTTCGAGCGGCTCATGGCCGACAAGGCGGCGGCGGACCGGTCGGCCCACGCGTCCTTCGCGAAGATCCCGCGCTTCTTCGCCGGCGGGCGGCGGCTCCAGCAGAAGCTGCGCGCCCTGGCCGAGGCCAAGGGCCACGCCGAGTTCGAGCGCAAGATCCTCAGCTGGGACGAGCTCGAGGAGCTCCGCGCCGCGCTCGGCGCGGCGCAGAGCGAGCCCATGGACGGCTCGGGACGGATCAACTACGAGCAGCTCTGCGAGATCCGGCGGGACCTGGAGGCGGCGTCGGGGTCCGACATCTTCCACGGGCCCCTGAGCGCGCGGAAGTTCCTCCAGCTGCCGCGCGACCAGCACTCGCGCATCTCCGCGCGCGACCTCTACAACCGCGTGGACCGCGAGACCTGCGTCGCCAAGACGCAGCTCACCATGCGGCCCTACGACGGCAGCGGCAAGGGCTACCTGCGGGAGCACGAGCTCGAAAGGTACATCTACGTCTTCGTCGGGGCGGGAAACGGGCGCGACGTTCCCGACTTCAAAGGCTCCGATCCCCGCCGTTTCCCGCTCGCGTCGGCTGGTTTTTGGACGAGCGATCATCGCTCGGAGCGGTCTCGAAGCGTAGCTGTTGTTTATCTGGAACCATGTTTCTGCCCAGGACTTCATCCCGGAGATGCCTCTGGCCTCGTCGATGGACGACAAGTTCCACGCGTTCTACGTCTTCACGGCCGTGCGGCGCTTCATGTTCTTCCTGGACCCGAAGCGCCGGAGCCGCATCCCCATCGCGACGCTCGCGGCGAGCGACATCTCCTTCGAGCTCCACGAGATGGCCGACGTCGCCGCGGGCTCGGACCGCGCGGCGCGGAGCTCGTGGTTCCTCCCGGACAACGCGAAGCGCGTCTACAGCGACTACCTCGAGCTCGACGAGGACCACAACGGCATGCTGTCCAAGGCCGAGCTCCTGAATTTTCGCGGGCTGCGGGGCGAGGCGCGGCTCACGAAGGCCTTCGTGGAGCGCGTCTACGCGGAGATCATCACGTACCGGACGAACGAGGCCACGGGCGAGGGCGAGATGGACTTCAAGACCTACCTGGACCTCGTCCTCGCCTTCGAGAATCTCGCGACGCCCCAGGCCCTGGCCTACTTCTGGCGCCTCCTCGACGTGAAGAAGCAGGGCTCCATCGACGTCTTCACGATCAACTACTTCTTCCGCGAGATCGCCGACAGCATCCGCGACGAGGGCTACGACGCGCCCATCACGGCCGACGTCGTCGACGAGATCTTCGACATGGTCAAGCCCAAGGACCCGACGAAGATCACCTACGACGACCTCCGCGACTCCAAGCAGGCCCACACGGTCATCTCCATGCTCACGGACGTCGCGGGCTTCCTCGCCTACGACAACCGCGAGCACATGATGCAGCCCGAGGACGACGACCTCGAGGAGAGCTAGGGGCCTTATTATTGGTCGACGGGGAAGGTCGGCGCGACGACGCCCGTGGCGAGCTCGTAGGGGAGCCGCTTCGGCGTCGACTCGTAGGGGTCGTCGCCGCGGCGCTGCTCCAGGTACTCGATGTTCTGCTCGACGGCGGCGCGCACAGCCGCGTAGAGCGCGTCGCAGGCCGCGCCGCTCCTCGGGTCGACGGCCGCGGTGTCGAAGGCCCGCCCGCAGATGAAGTAGTGGCGCCGGGGGAAGCCGTTGGGCGACACGAGCGGCGGCACGAAGTCGTCGCCGGGCACGAGGGACACCAGGTCCTTCGTCCGCTCCCGGAAGAAGGTGCCGACGGCGTCGTCGCGCGCCAGGAGCTCGTCCGTGTCCTGCACGTAGGAGCCGTCGTCGCCGAAGAACTCGTCGCCGCCCATGCCCCCGAAGGGGACGATCGTCGCGTTGTAGCGCGCGGCGATCTTGACGAGGGCCGACGACTCGGGCCATTGCAGGACGTACTGCTCGCCGCGGCGCTTGAAGACCTCGCGCGCGCCCCCCGGGAACACGAGGCAGTGCCGGCCCTCCGCGAGGGCGCCGCAGAGCTCGCGCGCGCCCGCGGGCCGCGCGTCGAAGCGCCGCAGCATCGCCGCGGACCCGGGGAGCGGGTAGGGCAGCGGCGCGAGGGGCGACTCGTCCAAAAGCAGCGGCGGGTAGACCAACGGCACGACCCCCAGGCGCTTCTCCGCGAGGAACTCCTCCACCAGGAGCACGCCGTCCAGGCCGAACAACTGGTGATTGCCCACCAGCAAAAGAGGCCCGCTCGCGGGCACGTGGCGCAGGCCCGCCTCGACGTTGCCCTCGGGAGAGGTAGAAAAGAACTTGGGCGACACGATTTGCCGCGCGGCCTTCATCGAGTACTCGATGGGCGTCCGCGGCGCCGTCGACAGCGCCGACGCCGTCCGCGCGCCGTCCGGCAGCAGGCCCGCCTCGGCGAAGACGGAGAGCAGGTTCAGGTCCTCGAAGAGCACGTGCGGCGCGCCCGGCTCGACGCGCACCGCCGCGCCGTCGCAGAGCCGCGCGAGGCGCCGGCTCTCGGACACGCTCGGCAGCACGGCGTCGCCGCCCGACGCGACGAAGACCGCGCGCGCGCTCCAGGGCGGCGCGGCGCCCTTCAAGCGGTCCAGGGCCGCGTTCACGGACGCCGCGCCGCGCCGCACGACGTCGCGCTCGCGGTGCGCCAGCGTCGCCGGCGGCAGCGCGGCCGCGAGCGCGCCGCCCGACGCCAGCAGCGCGCCCGGCCCGCGGTCGCTGGACCCGGCGAGGCCGTCGGTCCAGCCCGAGCGGCCGAAGAGCGGGCTCACGACGCCGGACAGCGACGAGTAGAGGCTCTGCGGGATGCGCGGCAGCAGCGGCGCGACGAGCGACACGGGCGCGCGCGCGTAGGACGTCGCGGCGTTGCAGACCACGAGCGCGTCGACGAGCTGGGGCCGCGCGAGCGCGAAGCCCAGCGCCTATGAGCAACGATTTCGCACGATGTGTCCGTCGAATTTCCGACGAGCGAGCTTCGCACCGCGACATTCGCATGCCGCGAAGGCTGTTGCACAAGTCATGAGACGCCGCGTAGCGCGATGACCGCGCCCATGGACTCGCCGACGACCGACACGGCGTCGCCGCCGGCCTCCGCGACGGCGAGGCGCACGAGCGCGCCGTGGTCGGCGACGTCGTCGGCGTCGAGCACGAGCGACCGCACGTCGTAGAACTCGCTGAGCCGCCGGCGATTGCCGATGCCAACGCGGTCCGTGCCGTCCACGCCGCCAAAAACAAGCAGCTTAGGCTTGTCGCTGGAGGTTTCGTCGAAGCGCACGAAGCGCGCAGTCGGCGGCGGCGTTTCTGGTATGCTCTTGAATTCACGTATCGATGCGCGACGGTGCGGTGGTGATGCTGGCGCGAAGGCTGCGCAGGCGGTGACGCATACGAGCAGCACGCGCAGGCACATCGTGTGCCAGCACAGGGGCCTTGAGCGGCAACCAAACTTGTTGAACTTACGCCTCCGAGCTGTAGCGCCGGACGAGGTCCTTGACGCGGCCATCCTCGGTACCCGTACGCTGCTCGGCGACGTCGAGGCCGAAGGGCGCCCGGAGCGACCGCCCACCGGCGGAGAGGCGCGCGGAGAGGGAGCCGGGCAGTTCCGCGTCGTCGTCGTCGTCGACGGTCGCCAGCGTGGCCGCGCCGCGGAGCGGGGAGAGGTCCCCGTCGACGCTCGTCGCCGTCGAAAAGGGCCAGCTCGAGCGCCGCGACCCGCGCGCCTTCCCGGGCACCTTCTCGACGTCCGCGCCGTCGAGCGCCGCGCAGGGCGGGCGCCGCGCCGCGCGGACGAGCGCGACGAACAAGAGGCCGCGCGCGACGGCGAAGTTGAGGACGAGCGTCGCGATCGAGAGCGCGACGCGGTCCTCGAAGCTGCGGTAGCCGAAGAAGTCGATGACGTTGGAGCCGTCGTAGCACTCGGCCGGGAACGCGCGCGCGGCGCAAAAAAATGCGCGGTCCTCGAAGGCGTAGAAGACGAGGAGCCCCATCGCCGAGTAGCCCGGCAGCGCGCGCGCGACCAAAGCCCAGGCCGCGTGCATGTCGGAGACGCGCTTCACGACGCCCGCGAGCAGAAAGACGACGAAGTTGTAGACGCCGGAGAGCACGATGCCCGGCGTCGCGTCCTCCGGCGGCGCCGCGACGTGGAAGAAGAGGGAGCCCGTCGCGTGGAACGCGTGCTGCGCCAACAGGAAGACGACGAGCATGGGCAAAAGCCGGTCCGGCGCCGCGGCGCCGCAGCCGTAGAAGACGGCGAGGAAGAAGGGCGCGGCCCCGACGTTGACGACGACGAAGTCGCGCGCGACGACGAAGGCGAAGTAGTTGCGCGCGGTGTCGTAGCGCGCGGCCGCGTCGCGCTCGAAGCGCGCGCGCTCCGCCGGCGCGAGCACGGCGTTCGCCTGGAAGTTGGACACGCCGCAGAGCGTCGTGAGCCCGATGAAGAGCACGAAGACGACGTCCGCGCCGTCCGCCGTCGACGTCAAGCGGTGGCCGCGGCCCTCGGGGTTGAAGAGGCTCGCGACGACGGCCGCGAGCGACAGCGCCGTCGCGCCGTAGCCCCCCAGCTTCGCGGCGCCGGACTCGCGCGAAAAGCGCCGGAGCGCGAGCACGAAGCGGCGCCGCGTCTCGCCGCGGAAGTACGTCGTCCGGTGGACCGTCGGGTCGTCCGTCTCGTTCTTGGAGCCGCCGAGCTCCGGCGGCGGCGCGAGCGCGAGGCCCGCGTCGATCAACTCGCGCCGCGCCTCGAGGAGCACGTCCGCCGGGTTGAGCGCGACGTCCGGCGCCGTACCGCGGAGCGCCGCGGCGGCGTCGGCGACGTCCTCGGGCCGCGCGACGTCGCAGCCGTCGCCGCCGGACCGCAGCGCGAGGACTTTGTCGAAGAGGGCGAAGATCTCGGCGCTGGGCTGGTGGATGACGACGACGACGTTGAGGCCCCGCGCGGCGAGCGCCGCCGCGCCGCGCATGAGCGCCAAAGCCGTCGCCGCGTCCTGGCCCGACGTGAGCTCGTCGAGCGCGAGCACCGAGGGGAGCGCGAGGAGGCGGATCGCGAGGAGCAGGCGCCGGTGCTGGCCCTCGGAGAGCTTGTCGACGCGCGTGCCGTCGTGGCCCTCGAGGCGGACCTCGCGCTGCACCGCGGCCGCGCGCCGGAGCCGCGTGGCCACGGGCGCCTGGAGCGGGATCGTCAGCGCGTAGTAGCGCAGCTGCTCGCCGAGCGTGAGCGCGCCGGACAGGGGCAGGTCGCAGGTCGCGGACGACAGCTGCGTGCGCTCCGCGGCCCAGGCCCGCGACCGCGGGACCGCCGCCGCGCCGCCGACCTCGCTCGCGGCGAGCTCGCCCGCGGCGACGAGGCCGAAGGCCCGCTCGCGGCCGACGCAGATCTTGAGGAGCGTCGTCTTGCCCGAGCCCGACGGCCCGACGATCGCCGTCAGCGACGCCGCGTCGAAGGCGCCGTGGACGCCCCGGAGCACGCGCCTCGCGCCGCGCGCGCCGCGCGCGACGCAGCCGAGGCCGCGGAACGCGAGGCGCACGCGCCGCGTCGGCAGCGCGTCCTCCGGCGGCGGCGGCGGCGGCGCGAGCGTCCGGCACGACGCCCCGGGGGACCGGCTCGACGCCCCGAGGGTCCGGCTCGACGCCCCGAGGGACCGGCTCGACGGGCTGCTCGCGAGGCTCCGCGTCGAGCCGTCTCCGGCGGGCACGTCCTCGATGGACATCGACCGCCGGAGGCTCAGGCGCGCGGCTGGCCCGGAGAACGTGACCGACGCGTCGGCCGACAACCGGACCGACAACGTGTGCGACGGCGCGAGCGAGCCGACCTCGACGAGCGAGACGTCGCCGCGGCGGTCCCGCGCGAGCCGCGGCGGCGCGGCGACGTCGCGCCAGCCCAGCGCGCCCGCCGCGGCGAGGACGAGCGCGACCGCGAGGGGCGCGAGCAGCAGGAGGCCGCCGACGACGCCGAGCGGCGGCCGCGACGCCGCGGCCTCGTCGCCGTAGGGCGGCGACACGTCGTCGCAGAAGGCGACGACGCGCGCGCCGGCCCGCGGCGGCGCGGCGCACTTCTCGCTCTCGGGGCCGAGGTGCGGGCAATGGACGATGGGGTCGAGGAGCGCGAGCTGGAGGTGCATCTGGCGGCACGCGCGCGTGTCGCCCGCGAAGAAGCCCCCCGCGCCGTCGAGGCAGCGGTCCGCGACGTCGCGCGAGAGGTAGCGCACGCACGCCTCCATAGACTCGTAGGGGAAGAGGCTGTCCGGGCAGTAGGCGAGCGCGCCGGAGCAGAGCGCGCTCGGCCGCATGCCGATGCGCTCCATGAACGCGTAGGTCGGCCGCGAGAACTCCGTGTACGTCAGCCGGTACTCCTCGCCGATTTCGTCGCTGAAGCCGAGGCGGAGGATCGTCGTCTCGAACTCCGCGTCCTCGAGCGTCTCGCCCGCGAAGCCCGCGGCCGTCTTCCACGTGTAGTTCATGACCCAGTCGTCGCTCCCGCCGCGCGCCTCGAAGCGCTGGATCTCGATGGGGCTGTGGAGGAACGCGCCGAGGTTGAACGCGGGGCTCAGCGTGTACGCGTACTCCACGAACTCGTCGCGGCCGAGGTACGCGCCGATGTGCGGCTGCCAGTACTCGATGGCCGGCGAGCAGATGGCCGTGATTTCCGCGTCCCAGCGGGCGCTGTCGCTCGCGTAGGGCTCGCGCCAGTCGATGAGCACCGTGAGCTTGACCGCCGTCGCTTCGCGGTCGACGTCGACGAAGCAGGACGGGAGCGGCGACCCGCACGCGCGCGCGAGCGCATAGGCGGCGTAGGTTTCGTTTGATGTCAGGGCCGCGTAGCCCGAGGAGTTGCGCACGTTCGCCGCGCACCAGTCGCCCTCGTCGAGGGAACCGTAGAGGGCACAACATTCTTCATTCGGAGCGTCGAGGGGTCGACAGGTGCGCTCGAGGTCGTGCAGGGAGCACGCTGTCGCCGTTGTTATGAGGAACCAGAACGCGCGGGGCATGCTGCCGGTCATCTGGCAAGGCGGACCGGGCGCACGTGCAGAGCTTGATTTTACCGGGAATTTTTTTGCCAAAGCTTTTGGGTGAAGAGACGGTGAAGCATGAGCGATCCGATCGTCGCCACCGTCGTCGCGCCGGCCATGGGTGGCCACGCTAAACCAGGAGCCGTTCTCGATGTCCCCATGACGGGTTTGAACCCCTTGATTGGCTTGGGCGCGTTCCAGGTCCAACAGCAGGTCGAGATGCTCGAGGCGGCCCTGAACGTGATCAACATCGACTACGAAGGCGCGAACAAGTATAAGGTCAAGGACCCCGAGGGCCGCGACATGCGAATATCGGCGTCGACGACCGAAGTTACCGAACGAGTGCGCGCGGACCCGCGCGTCCGAACGCGCAACCGAACGCAGGTACTTCGTCGCCGAGGAGTCGGGGTGCTGCATGCGCCAGCTCTGCTCGCCGAACCACTCGATGAAGCTCCACATGACGGACATGGCCGGCCGCAAGGTGCTGACGATGGACCGGCCGTGGACCTTCAACTGCTGCTGCTGCGAGTGGGGCAACCTCTGCGGCAAGACGCACATGGACGTCTACATGGGCGAGCAAGACGAGCAGAAGATGATCGGTTCCGTGCGCATGCCCTGCTTCGGCGGCGGCTTCTCGCCGAAATTCGACATCCACGACGTCGACGGCGACGTCCAAGCCTCCGTCACGGGGCCCTGCTGCTTCATCAGCGACCTCTGCGGAGCCAAGTTCGGTGTCAAGGATAAGGTCGGCAACGACGTCGGCACGGTTAACAAGCTGGGCGTCAAGTCGATGGGGGATTTCGCCAAGGAGGCGATGACGGACGCGGACAACTTCGAGATCACGTTCCCGGTGGAGACGCGCGTCGAGACGAAGGCGCTCATGATCGGCACGTTGCTCCTCCTCGACTACACGTTCTTCGAGGGCGAGGGCGCCTTCGAGATCGACCCGTGCGGCCGCGGCTGCAAGTTCAAGCTCTGCGACATCTTCTGCTGCGGCTGCATCGTCCCGTGCACGTGCAACTGTCAGCGGGACAACGGCGGGGCGCCGCCGAAGCCGGACGGCGGCCCGCCGACGCCGGACGTCGCGCCCGTCGCCGCCGCCGCGACCATGCTCCGCGACGAGTGAGCGGCGCGCCGTCGCCGAGGCCGCCCCGCGCCGTCGTCGAGGCCAGCCCCCTCGAGCGCGCCGTTCCCCGCGCCGCCGTCGCCGAGGCCGCCCCGCGCCTCAATCCCAAGCGAGTCGAGCTCGAGCTGCGACGATGCACCCGCACGCTCGGCCTGGCGCGCCGCACGCAACGCAAACGTGGCTCTCGGAGAACCCCGGCCTCACTTCCGAAGAGCTTACTGTCCTACTTGAGTAGGGACGAACTGTTCGAGCAAACCACGGTTCACCACCAGTTGTAGAAGGGCACGTGGCCGGGGTCGTAGGGCTTGCGCGTGGCGTCGACCTCGTCGAAGGCGGCCTTGGTGCCGAAGCGCTTCGCCTGCAGGAGCTTGACCTGGCGGATGAGGTAGTGGCGGCTCTCCTTGCCGTACCACGAGCCCGCGACGTAGGGCAGCGCCGCGAGGTCCTTGTCGGTCACGCGGTATTCGCCCTTGGCGCCCGTCTTCGTGACAAGACCCGTCTTCTTGGAGCAACAGGCCTTGCAGACCAAGACTTTGTAGACCGCGTGGCGTTTCGGCGGTTTCGCGCGCCGGCAGTGCACGCACGCGTCGGCGAGCGCGGTCAGCGGCAGCCAGGGCTTCTCCGCGAGCAGGCGCTGCGTCGCCCCGACGTGCGAGTTGTCCCAGGGCGAGGCCCGCACCTCCTCCTTCGGCTTCCACGCGGCGACGCACGGAGCGACGCGCCGCGCGACTTCGACGAGCGGAGCCCAGAAACGATCCGGGAGGCGCGCGAGCAGATTCTTCATCGACTTGGACGTGACCAGGAGCCGTCCGACGGCTTTCATGCGCGCGAGGTCGTCCAAGGAGGCGCGGCCGCACTCGACGTACTCGAAGACGTGCCGCCAACCGTCGCCGTGCAGGCGGAGCGCACCGGAGGGCGCCGTCGACTGCGGGCGCGGCTTCTTCGCCTTCTTCGTCGTCTTCTTGGCCATCACGATCACGGGGTGAGCGTCGCGCGAATACAATAAGGTTCTCGCGCGCGCACGGGAGGCAATAATTGACCGACAGATCGAGAGAATCTCAAATCCGCGCGCCGTGGCAGAAATGAGAGCTGATGTCCGACCGACTCCGCGGCGCCCGCGTCTCGAGGGGGCCCTGCACAACGGTGCGTGCCGCGGTCCCCGGCCACGTCCCCGGCCCGTGCCCGGGCCGTGCCCGGGGCCCCGTGCCGGGCCCGTGCCGGGCCTCCCCGGCCCGTGCCCGGCCCGTGCCCGGGGCCCGTGCCGAGTGCCGGGCCCGTGCCGGGCCGCGTGGCCCGTGCCCGGCCCGTGCCCGGGGGCCCGTGCCGAGTGCCGTGCCGCGTGCCGGGCCCGTGCCGGGCCGCGTGCCCGGAGCGCATTTACCGTGCCGGAACCCCCGTGCCCGCCGTCCCCGGCCCCCGTCCCGGGGCCGGACCGTCGTGCAGGGGCCCGTGTCTCGACGCCGCCGGGGCCGCCCCGCGCCTCGTCCCCGCGCCTCAATCCCACACCGCGACCCC